GGGGTGGAGATTTGTAACCATGGATGGGTAGAGGCCGCAGGGTGGCTGAGTCACAGCTCTCAACCCTCCACTCTGACCTTTTCAGAGTACAAGCCGTGTGACCCACAGCTGGTGTCAGAGCGGGTGGCCTCCCTGGAGCAGAGCTACGAGGCGCTGTGCGAGTTAGCAGCGGCCCGGCGGGCCCGCCTGGAGGAGTCCCGACGCCTCTGGCGCTTCCTCTGGGAGGTGGGTGAGGCCGAGGCTTGGGTTCGGGAGCAGCAGCACCTGCTGGCCTCAGCAGAAACTGGCCGGGACCTGACCGGCGTCCTCCGCCTGCTCAACAAACACACAGCCCTGCGAGGCGAGATGAGCGGCCGGCTAGGGCCCTTGAAGCTTACGCTGGAGCAGGGCCAGCAATTAGTTGCGGAGGGCCATCCCGGGGCGGGCCAGGCCGCCGCCCGCACAGCCGAGCTGCAAGCACAGTGGGAGCGGCTGGAGGCCCTGGCAGAGGAGCGTGCTCAGCGGCTTGCCCAGGCCGCCAGCCTCTACCAGTTCCAGGCAGACGCAAACGACATGGAGGCCTGGCTGGTGGACGCGCTGCGCCTGGTGTCCAGCCCCGAGCTGGGGCACGACGAGTTCTCCACGCAGGCCCTGGCCCGACAGCATCGGGCCCTGGAGGAGGAGATCCGGAGCCACCGGCCAGCCCTGGATGCCCTGAGGGAACAGGCCGCAGCCCTGCCTCCTGCACTGAGCCGCACGCCCGAGGTGCAGGGCAGGGTGCCCACGCTGGAGCGGCACTACGAGGAGCTGCAGGCCCGGGCAGGCGAACGGGCGCGGGCCCTGGAGGCAGCCCTGGCGCTCTACACCATGCTCAGCGAGGCCGGGGCCTGTGGGCTGTGGGTGGAGGAGAAGGAGCAGTGGCTCAATGGGCTGGCCCTGCCCGAGCGCCTGGAGGACCTGGAGGTTGTGCAGCAAAGGTAGGCCCCCTGCTGGCTCCCTTGGGTGGGGGTGGGGGGGGGTGGGGGGAGGCCTTGTGAGCTGGGAGGCCAGCGTGTGGGTGGCGGGCCCTGCCATAAACTGTCTGCTCTTGCTACAACCCTTGAGCCTTAACGATTGTGTTTTCATTTTAATGAAAAATATTTTCAGAGAAAACATTAGGGGCCCCTGGGTGGCTCAGTGGGTTAAGAGTCCCAACTGTTGGTTTCAGCTGAGGTCATGATTTCATGGTTTGTGGGTTCGGGCCTCACATCGGGCTCCGTGCTGACAGTGTGGAGCCTGCTTCGGATTCTCTCTCTCTCTGCCCCTCCCCAGCTCTCTCTGTCTCTCTCTCAAAAATAAATAAACTTAAAAAAGTTTTTTTTAAAGAAGAAAATGTTATACAGCAAGCTCCTATATACCCAATCATCCAGATTCAATAATTGTCAGTATCTTTCTGTATTTGGTTATTTTTCCTTTTGTTAAAAAAATTTTTTTTCGCGTTTATTTATTTTTGAGAGAGAGAAAGAGAGCACAAGCAGGGGAGGGGCAGAGAGAGAGGGAGACACAGAATCCGAAGTAGGCTCCAGGCTCCGAGCTTTCAGCTCAGAGCCTGACGTGGGGCTCGAACTCAGGAACGGTGAGATCATGACCTGAGCTGAAGTCAGACGCTCAACCAACTGAGCCACCCAGGCGCCCTTTTCCTTTTAAAAATTAGCAAATCCCCACATTATCATTTTCACTTCTACATTCTTCAGGATGTGTCCTCTGACATATTAAGAAGTATTCCAAAATATAGTAAATTATTTTTTAATTGCATGTGTGGACTTAAAAGAGCTGAGGCTTTGATGTTACAAACCTTTAGGCAGATACACTGATTAACCTCTTATGAAGTAGGTTTACTTACAGAATAATACACCTTAAAATCATTTAGAAAGGACATTTTTCTTACAGAACCACAATACCATTCTCACGTAGAACAGAACCAGCAATTCCTTGATGTCTGTTACTCATTCCATAATCAAATTTCCTGGTGGCTTAAAAAATGTATTCAAAGATTTTTTTTCTTGGTTTTCAAGATATTCTATGGCAGAGATCAGCAAACTACAATCCTGGGGCCAAATCCAGCCTGCTGCCTGTTTTTTTAAAATAAAGCTTTATTGGAACAGAGCCATGCTCATTCATTTACGTATGGTCCCTGGCTGCTTTTACTTTTTTGTATTGCTCTACAATAGCAGAGCTAAATTCTCTTGACTGGGATCTTATGGCCCAAAGGCCGAAAACACTTGCTATTTGGCCCCTTACAGAAAATGTTTGCAGACTCTGTGAGAATATCCAATGCCCCTAGGAGAAGTTATGCTTCACATCTTTATCACGCAAACAAATTTTTGGTTGTCAATTCATTTTATAATACATGTTAATAGGAGGGGACCCAGGTAGGCAGCAAAGGGGTTCCAGGAAGAATGGGGAGGTTCCCATAAAGGGTGAAGCCCTGGGCCAGGAATTTGTTTGGCTCGTGCAACTGTTCGTGACATTCGCTTTCATCATCTCCTTGATTAACTCCAGAGGGGATTGCTTTTCTACTTGCTTGGGGGGAACTGAGGCTCCCCACTTGAGCCACAGATACTGCAGGTATTATACGTGAAGATGTGCAGAGGCTCCTGAAGATCAGCCCTGGGTGGACAGAGAGGAGTTTTCCTGGGCATCCAGGGGAGATGGGCTGGTGCATCACTGCTCCCACAATCCACAGCCACCGCTTCCACCCTCTTCCACCCTCTCAGGTTCGAGACCCTGGAGCCTGAAATGAACGCCCTTGCAGCACGGATTACTGCTGTGAATGACATTGCGGAGCAGTTGCTGAAGGCCAAACCCCCGGGCAAGGACAGTATCATCAATACCCAGAAGCAGCTCAACCACAGGTGGGGTTGGGGAGGGCAACCAAGAAAGGATGCAGCAGACAGGGATGGCAGCCAGAGGGAGTTCTGTAGGGCATGGAATGGAGGCTAAAAACGAGGAAGGAAGGTCATCTGGAACATGTTATGGGGCAGAGGCGGGAAATGTTGAGAGAAATGAAGGGGGTAAAGGTAATCCGAAAGGACTTGTGCCTGGACAGGGAGCAATCGAGGGGTCGGGAGGGTGAGCGAGGAGCAGCCTCTTTAACAAGCAGAAGCAGGTGGAGGACTATGCCAAAGGAGAGAGAGGCAAGGGAGAAGCTTCCAAGCATACCTAAATGGGGCAGGAAAGCTGAGCAGCTCTAGACACCAGGCCCTCCTTCTACTCTCAGGTGGCAGCAGTTTAGGACCCTGGCAGACGGCAAGAAGGCAGCCCTGACATCGGCCCTGAGCATCCAGAACTACCACTTAGAGTGCACAGAGACCCAGGCCTGGATGAGAGAAAAGACCAAAGTCATTGAGTCCACCCAGGGCCTGGGCAATGACCTGGCCGGGGTGCTGGCACTGCAGCGGAAGCTGGCCGGCACCGAGCGGGACCTGGAGGCCATCGCCGCTCGGGTGGGCGAACTGACTCGAGAGGCAAATGCCCTGGCTGCTGGCCACCCTGCCCAAGCCCCTGCCATCAATGCCCGGCTTGGAGAGGTGCAAGCTGGCTGGGAAGACCTAAGGGCCACCATGCGACGGCGAGAAGAATCACTGGGTGAGGCGCGGCGGCTGCAGGACTTCCTGCGCAGCTTAGATGACTTCCAGGCTTGGCTCGGTCGCACGCAGACCTCTGTGGCCTCTGAAGAAGGGCCGGCTACCCTGCCTGAGGCAGAGGCCCTCCTGGCCCAACACGCAGCCCTGCGGGGAGAGGTGGAGCGGGCCCGGGGCGAGTACAGCCGGCTCCGGGCCCTGGGTGAGGAGGTGACCCGGGACCAGGCTGATCCGCAGTGCCTCTTCCTACGGCAGCGACTCGAAGCCCTGGGAACCGGCTGGGAGGAGCTGGGCCGCATGTGGGAGAGCCGGCAAGGCCGTCTGGCCCAGGCCCATGGCTTCCAAGGCTTCCTGCGGGATGCTCGCCAGGCGGAAGGTGTGCTCAGCAGCCAGGTAAGAGCCCTGGGACACAAAGTCCCACCCAGGAAGAGAGGGAACTAGGGGTGGGGAAGTGTGGAGGAGAGGAGTGGGTGGGGAGGAAATGGCAGTGAGGGAGTGGTTGAAGAACCAGGATGGACAGAGAGGGCATGTTAGAAGAATATGGGCGGGGCGCCTGGATGGCTGGGTTGGTGAAGCGTCTGACTCTTGGTTTCGACTCAGGTCATGATCTCACGGTTGATGGATTTGAGCCCCTCCCTCAGGCTCTGCGCTGACAGCATGCTGCCTGCTTGGGATTCTCTCTTTCCCTGCTCTCTCTGCCCCTCACTCACTCATTCTCTTTCTCTCAAAATAAATAAACATCCCAAAAAAAGTTGATTTAAAAAAAAAAAGAAAAATGTGGGAGTAAAACAAACAAACAAACAAACAAAGATGTAGATACCTGGCTGGCTTATTCAGTAGAACATGCGACTCTTGATCTCAGGGTCGTGAGCTCAAGTCTCACATAGGGTTAGAGCTTACTTTAAAAAAACAAAAACAAAAAAAAAGATTAAACAGAATAAAAAGATGTCGGTATAACTTACCAAAACTGCTTGAGAAGAAATAGAAAACCTGACCTGCCATGTAAGTGTTAAATATGTGGCCAGAAAGAAGATAAAACGGGACTTGGGCTATTATGGTCCTCCTGCCTAGCTCCCTTGTAACTTTGCAAGACTGCAGCATAATCAGGCACCCCTCACCCCTCCACTCTGTCTTCAGAGCCAGGCTGTCTCCTCTCCTCTCCCCACCTGGCCTCCACGTCTGATATGTCCTTTCAGGAAGTCCCTTCTGAAAAGTTGACAAGTGCTTTTGAGAAGTGAGCTCCGTACCTCTCCTCCCACACAGGAATACGTTTTGTCCCACACGGAGATGCCGGGGACACTCCAAGCTGCTGACGCCACCATAAAAAAACTGGAAGACTTCATGAGCACCATGGATGCCAACGGAGAGCGGATCCGCGGGCTACTGGAGGCTGGGCGCCAGCTGGTGTCTGAAGGCAACATCCATGCCGAGAAGATCCAGGAGAAGGCTGACTCCATCGAGAGGAGGTATGGTAAAGACAGTGGGTAAATGAGAGGCCCAAGGGGGAAGTGAGCGAAAACAGCATGGCCTGTTTCATTGAGGAAGAAGCTGGAGAACGCAGCACAGGCAGACAGATGGTGGTGGGGGCTGACAAACAGTAGAGGAGGAAGAACTAAGTGGTTGGAGAGAGACTAAGCCAGGAGCTGGGAAGCCCTGCCTCCCCCACACCAGGGGAGATGAAGGCCACTGGAGTCGCTGGATGCTGGACATCAGGATCCCTAGATTGTCTTGCAGTGCTCCCGGAAGGCATTGTCCCCATAACAAGAGGACTGAAGGCTTCTAGGTTAGTTAGAGGGCCATAACCCTTTGACAGCAAGTTCAAGGGTCTCACAAGAGACTGTCATTACAGACACAAGAAGAATCAAGAAGCCGTGCAGCAGCTCTTGGGCCGTCTTCGGGACAACCGAGAGCAGCAGCATTTCCTACAAGACTGTCACGAGGTGAGGCTCTTGGTACCCCCATGTCCCCTCCGACATTCCCTAGCCATCCCTTTGATAAAACGCCCTGGCTCTCTGAGCCTAGAGTAAGTCCATTGCGGTATCACCTGAATAAGTATCACCTGAATAAGCCACCTGCATGGCTTCTCCCCACATCCACCACTTCTCCCAGCTCACCTCGCCCCCTTATGCTCCACTCCATCTGAAATGTGCTCTGCCCTTCTCCACCCCTGCTCTACGCTTGGTCCAGCTGAAGCTCTGGATTGATGAGAAGATGCTGACAGCCCAGGACGTGTCCTACGATGAGGCCCGCAACCTGCACACCAAGTGGCAGAAGCACCAGGCGTTCATGGCTGAGCTGGCCGCCAACAAAGACTGGCTGGACAAGGTAGACAAGGTGAGTGGTGTGACAACAGCAGCAGGAAGAGAGCCCTGGGGCCTCGTCTGGACAGGATCATGGCCACAGTACAGGGAGGGATCCTGGCTTTAGTCTATGGTTCCTTCAGGGTTACAGGTCACGGGGCCTCTGGTGCCAAACCTCCAAGGTGGAGAGTTACGGTCTGGGGAACAAAGGTCTTTGGTCCATGAGACAGTGACTCCAGAACTGTGGGAAAGTACAAATGAGTAGTACGGGAGCCAAACTGCAGCCTTGGGTCAACACCGTAACTATCCCTGGGTCCGGAGGAGGATGACGTTCTTCAGCAGGGGTCAGCAAACTTCTGCAAAGGGCCAGATGGTAAATATTTTCAGCTTTGTGGGCCACACGGTTTCTGCTACGTGCCAGTGCGGCACCAAGGCAGCCATAGAGAATTCATAAACGATTGGGTATAGCTGCGTTCCAATAAAACTTTATTTATGAAAACAAGTGATGGGCCACATTGAGCCCACAGAGCACCTTTTTGCCAACCCTTGCTTTTGAGTCTTATTCTTCCTGGTACTTGGTACTTGGTACCACTTCCTCAAGAGCTGAGCACAGATAAAACTTTATTTCAACTCAGCAAGTATTCCTGGGCAACAATATGTGTGCTCAGCACTCTGCTAGGTACTGCAAGGTATATAAAAAGATACTTTCCTTCCCTCAAGGGCATGATGGTTGGGGAGAGGAGGAGACCAGTGTATGCCCAGTGTTTCTGTTTATTCAGCAAATACTACTATTTGCTGCTACTATATGCAAAAGCATTATATTAGGCACTGAGAAGGGTACATAGGCAGTTCCATTGTAGGCTCCACCCTTGAAGAATGACACTATAGCCAGGCTATGAGATGCATACACAAATACCTAAATTAAATCCAGAGCAGAATATAGCAAATGCAGTGAGAGAGGGCCTGATAAAGCCTAGGCCCTCTGTGTGTGCCTGTAAAGCTATGTACCAATAAAGCTTTGTTTACAAGGAGAGAAGAGGCACAGGAATCCTAGAGGCTGGAGCCTCCAGGGCAGTCCATGAAGGATGAGTAGAATTTGGGCAAGCAGAGACACTGGAGGAAAAATGTTTCTAGGCAGAGAAAACCATGCAAACAGGAAGCCCAAGATGCATAAGTGGGGTACCTATATGGGAGCAAGGGGGTAAGTCAGACTGGCAGGAATGTAGAATGTGTGAAGGGGCCCCATGGAAGAAAAGGTAGGAAAAGCCTGCTAGGCCAAGTCATGAAAAGCCTTGAACACCACGTAAGGACTGTGCATCGAAGTGTGGATTGTGCTGAAGGTTTGTGAAGTTACCCAAGCAGTGCTAGACTCTGACACTCATCCTGGCAGCCATGCACAAAGTGGCTTCAAGGCAGTGTCTTGGCCTGTGTTCTTCTAGAAGCAGACCCTGAAATGAGGTTTCCAGTGCAGGCCACTTTATGACAGATGACCACCGAGAATACCAGTGGGGGCGTGGGGTGATGGGATGGAAAAGGAAAGGCATTTGATAACGGGCCCACGCTGCCATGCCAGTCACCCCAGTGGGCCACTGGTGCTCAGTACTAATGGGGCACCATGGGAACATGGGAGACAGTGTAGAACATGCACCCACATAATCCCAGCCAAAGAACAAGGATGCTGAGTCTTTGTCCACCGGCTCCCTGTCTGTCACTGGTTGCGGGCTGCTTCCTTGGGCAGTAACTCCTGGGCACTTCCGGTCTGCCTTGCATGCAGGTCAGGAGACCATGCTTCCCTCACCTCCCCAGCAACGAAAGTCCTCAAGCAGAAAGGCTGGGAGTGGGGAGAGCAGGCGGGACTTGGGTGTACATAACTCAGGGAAAGGGTGGCTTGCTGCGAAACAGGAGAAGATGGCAAATATACAAGACCATGTGTGGCATAACCCCAGAAGCCACTAGCATGAGGGAGCCCAGAGTAGGAAAGGTCTCCATGGCTTCTTAGTTGAAATGAGATTTGAGCCAGACCTTGAACAAGTAGGGTGCAACCCAGCAGTGGGGGGTGGAGGGGCTAGAAGAAGTCTGAAACCTTGAGAAGAGCATGTTACGGAGAGTATGCAAGAACCTGGAATTATTGCCTTCACTTCAGGTTCCTACTGCCCTTTAGGTCTCTGATCTGTTACCAACCCATAAAGTTCGGCAGTATCTAATTCTTTTTTTTTTTTTTTTTTTTTTTTTTTTTTGGTAATGTTTGTTTATTTTTGAGAGAGAAAGTACAAGCAGGGGAGAGGCAGAGAGAGAGGAGGACAGAGGATCCAGAGCAGGCTCCGCTCTGACAGCAGCAAGCCCGATGTGGGGCTCGAACTCACGAACCATAGGATGGTGACCTGAGCCAAAGTCAGAGGCTCAATGGACTGGTGACAGGCACCCAGCATTATCTAATTCTGACACTGACACCTTCTTTGTCCCACCACCCAGGAAGGGCAGGAGCTGACCCTTGAGAAGCCAGAGCTGAAGGCCCTGGTGTCTGAGAAGCTGGAGGACCTGCACCAGCGCTGGGACAGGCTGGAGAGCACCACCCAGGCCAAGGCCCGTAGCCTCTTCGATGCCAACCGAGCCGAGCTGTTTGCCCAGAGCTGCTCCGCCCTGGAGAGCTGGCTGGAGAGTCTGCAGGCCCAGCTGCACTCTGACGACTACGGCAAGGACCTCACCAGTGTCAACATTCTGCTCAAGAAGCAACAGGTGCTCTGCAGGCCTGTGATGGGGATGGGGAACCGCAGCAGAGAGGAGGAGGGAGTCTGTAGCTCCTGAGATTTGGGAGGTTGTTCTCAGGCCTCACAGACAACATCTGTACCAGTATTTCTCAAAGCAATGTCCATGGGCCACCGTCTCAGAATCTCTGGGAGCATGTCAGACTGAAGTCAGACTGAAGTCAGAAGACAGAAACCATTCTCTAACTTGAACAATGAAATTTTAGTAAAAAAGAAGTATCAATTAGTTAAAGGTGGTTAACTACCAAAAGGTAGAAATCGAAAGCAGGGATGAGAAAACATTTTTCTATAAAGGGTCAGACAGTAACATTTTGGCTGTTGTAGGCCATATGGTCTCTGTCATAAGCATTCAACTCTGTTCTGGTAGGATAAAAGCAGCCACAGGCAATATGTAAAATAATGGGTGTGGCTGTGCGCCAATAAAACTTTATTTACAAAAACAGGCAGGGAGCTGGATTTGCTGATCCCTGCTCTAAATAGCACAGAAATGGCAAATGTAGGGAGCAGCTACTACCTCTAGTGCTGGGGAGGGGTACCCAAGGAGGACTGAGATGCGTCCCCCCTGACCCCACGGCTGTTTCAGACCTCGTTGGAGAGGGCCGAGGCTCAGGGGTAGGTATTGTAGAACTTTGCTGGGGTATCCTGGGACCAGGCCAGTCTAATGCTGGCGGGCCAACACTGGCCAGCAGGAAGTTACCACTGGGATGCCAGCAAAATTTGCTGGAGGGTGGTGAGAGCCACTGGATTTCCTGCACACCATGGGCAGTTTTGCTATAGGAGCAAGAGCAAAAAAACACACAAGAACCATAAATTGCACCTTCCCCTCCTTGCATTGTGCTGTGCCTCTGGCGCCCTCTAATGACAAGACCCAGCATTGCACCAGCTGGCAAAGGAGAAAGGTCGACAGGGTTCAGTCCTAACATCTCAAAACAGGAAAAGATGTACCTGGAGCTGAGGTGATTTTGGGTCTGAGAGGCAGTAAACTGACAACTGGCCCCGTTATCACATCCCCCCCCCCCCCGCAGGCTCTTATGTATATTAGAGTTTGAGGTCCACTGAGCTAGGCCATGAGGAGATGCTCTCCCTGGGATGAACCCCGGGGATAAGAAATCTTGATTGGCCACAGGAAGTGTGGAGTCTCCTCTGAGCTTGAAGGCAGATGTGTGGTGACAACACCTCCTTCCTCCCCGGGCTGCAGATGCTGGAACGGGAGATGGCAGTGCGAGAGAAGGAGGTGGAGGCCATCCAGGCCCAGGCGACAGCGCTGGCCCAGGAGGACCAGGGCGCAGGAGAGGTGGAGAGGACGTCGAGAGCTGTGGAGGAGAAGTTCCGGGCCCTGTGCCAGCCCATGAAGGAGCGCTGCCGGCGCCTGCACGCCTCCCGTGAGCAGCACCAGTTCCACCGGGACGTGGAGGATGAGATTGTGAGTCACTAGAGTCTGGGCTGAGGTAGAGTCGTCATCGTGGCAAATTGCTCCCTGCCATTCGCTTTCTAGTCTCCTTCCTGGATGCTGGGGAGATGCCAGCATCTCTTCCCTTTGGCATGGAAAACGGACTCTCGAGGGACTCTTGGGGATGCCCTCTGGGTCCCTGTGCCCCAGACTCAGAGATGACCATTCCCAGCAGGCACACACCAGGAGCCCTAGCAAACCTCTCCCCAAGTCTCCCCACTGTCCAACCCCAGCTCTCACTTTGCCCTCTGGACCTCCACTGACCCCCTCTTTCTCATCCAGTTGTGGGTGACAGAGCGGCTACCCATGGCTAGCTCCATGGAACATGGCAAGGACCTGCCCAGTGTCCAGCTTCTCATGAAGAAAAACCAGGTGAGGCCAAGGCTAAAAGCAAAAGGAAAGGTCTCAAGGGCCTCCCAGACTTGGAAGTTTGTTTTTTCTTAAAAAAAAAAAAATTGGGGTTTCTCTGGCTCCCCCTCAATCTGTGTGTCATTCTAGACTTCAGTGCTTGGCCTCTCTTCACCAAAGGAGGGTGGGTTCTCTTTGTAGCAGATCAGGTGGACTGAAGGGGTGTTACCATCCCATTCTTAGGTCAGAGGAGGGGGCAAGTGAGGAGGACTCAGGAAGAAAGAAAGCTGAAAGTAGGGGGCTGGCTGTGGAGCAGGCGGAAGGGGGAATGTGGTGAGGGGCCCCCCCTCAGAGTGTCCTCTTCTACTGCTGTGGACAGACCCTGCAGAAGGAGATACAGGGCCACGAGCCGCGGATCGCGGACCTGACGGAGCGGCAGCGTACTCTGGGAGCAGCAGCGGCAGGCCCAGAGCTGGCTGAGCTGCAGGAGATGTGGAAACGCCTGAGCCACGAGCTGGAGCTTCGAGGCAAGCGACTGGAGGAGGCCCTGCGGGCCCAGCAGTTCTACCGCGATGCCGCCGAGGCGGAGGCCTGGATGGGCGAGCAGGAGTTACACATGATGGGCCAGGAGAAAGCCAAGGTGAGAGGCCCAGCAGAGCTCAGGCTGTGTGGCTGCCACTCTCTTCCCCAGCCCCCTACTCCCTGATGCCCACTGTCGTTCCCAGGACGAGCTCAGCGCCCAGGCAGAGGTGAAGAAGCATCAGGTCCTGGAACAAGCCCTGGCTGACTATGCTCAGACCATCCATCAGCTGGCAGCCAGCAGCCAAGACATGATTGACCACAACCACCCAGAGAGGTGAACACAGCGGAGAACAAGGGGGAGCACGGCTCCTGGGGGAGACAAGAACGGGTTCCAGGGTGGTGCCGGGACTGTGGGGTCTTCTGTGCTACATGTGTACAGAACTATTTAGAAAGCTAGACAGGCAGAGACTTGGCAAGTAGTGGGGGGAGGGGGGGCGGGCAGAAGGGACGGGACTGTATAGAATAGGTAGGGTTCAGAGCCATGTGTCTTAAGTCCTGCCACCCCTGCCCCCACAGCACGCGAATATCCATCCGCCAAGCGCAGGTGGACAAGCTGTACGCCAGCCTGAAGGAGCTGGCGGGAGAGCGGCGGGAGCGCCTGCAGGAGCACCTGCGGCTGTGCCAGCTCCGCCGTGAGCTGGACGACCTGGAGCAGTGGATCCAGGAGCGCGAGGTGGTGGCAGCCTCCCACGAGCTGGGCCAGGACTACGAGCACGTGACTGTGAGTGCAGGGCGGCACCAGCCCACCAGCCACAGAGCTGCTCTGGGAGGTGTGGAGGACCCCCCGGGAGGCCAGCGCCTCCTTCTGGCAGAGCATCGAGGGGCAGGGGGTGCAAGAGCAGGCTGAGCAGGCACTGCCCTTGGGTACTCAATTTGAAGAACCGTGCAGAAAAGAGGTCATGGGACTGCACGCAGGTGTGGGCAAAAAGGAAATTTCCAATCGTTTTTTTCCAACAGAACTCAACAGCACAGGTGACTTCCTCTGCACCGTTTGGGAATTTGGGCCCCCGTTAGTGCAGACACATGGACCATAGTTAGGGTATTTTGCCTGACGGCCAAAGGTTCCAAGCACCCCTAATGCTTTTGCTGGAGGCTGAGGGCATCAGTCACATGTGGGGTAAATGGGAACCAGTTGTCCTGCTGAAGAAACCTGTTTTGGCCCTTGTGGCCCATGGAGAGAGTCACTTCTCAGTTTTGGGGCTAGAAGTCTCGCCCACTAGACAGGGACTGCATCTACCCGTGTTAAAGCGCTGTCCGCGTAACTGCTTCCTCCTCCAGATGCTCCGAGACAAATTCCGAGAGTTTTCCCGGGACACGAGTACCATCGGTCAGGAGCGTGTGGACAGCGCCAATGCACTGGCCAACGGGCTCATCGCTGGGGGCCATGCCGCCCGGGCCACTGTGGCCGAGTGGAAGGACAGCCTCAATGAGGCCTGGGCGGACCTGCTCGAGCTGCTGGACACGCGGGGTCAGGTGCTGGCAGCGGCGCACGAGCTGCAGCGCTTCCTGCACGGGGCGCGCCAAGCACTGGCGCGCGTGCAGCACAAGCAGCAGCAGCTTCCCGACGGGACCGGCCGGGACCTCAACGCAGCCGAGGCCCTGCAACGCCGCCACTGCGCCTTTGAACATGACATCCAGGCCCTCAGCGCCCAGGTCTGACCCAAGCATGGTGATTTGGGGGAGCGGGACAGGGGGGAGGCGGTGCTCAGAGGAGACTTCATGGGAAATGGTGGGGGGTTGGCATCCTCTGGAGGGATGCTTAAGGACAAAGTTAGAGTGGTTCCAGGGAAACCTCTCTGGACAGGGTATATCTAGCCACAGCATCCACACCGTTAATGACCAGCCTTCTTGGGGGCCCATGACATTTTCAGATGGTCTCAATGGCTGGATTCTTCATAGCATACTAAAATCTGCCTGTTGGTCCCACCCAGGTCAGAGCTCCAGACCCACACCACAGAAGCATAGATTCTTTCTCCAACCGTTTAAACCCAGTCAACCAATACCCAAGTCCCTTCATGGCTGAAAATCTCATTCTAGCAATCGTTGAGGCCCCTCGTGTCCTGGGCAGGCCTCTGGAAGCTCAATTGGCCAGTGGTCTGTTTAAAAGATTGCCCCCGCCAGACTCCCCAGGCCCCATGTTGAGACCCAGCAGGGCAGGGTATGACAGGGCTTACTCTGGGCACCGGCCTTCATTTTTCCCAGCCGCTACCCTCTGCTCTGCCTCCTGCTTCTCTGGCTGGTAAAATGGATGGGAGATAGAGCACAGAGACCAGGACCGGAGAGACCCCTGCTCGTTGGAGTCCCCCAGCTCTGCCTCACTCTGAGCGGGGGTGCGGGGGGGCCCACAGGTCCAGCAGGTGCAGGATGATGGCCATCGGCTCCAGAAGGCCTATGCTGGAGACAAGGCTGAGGAGATCGGCCGCCACATGCAGGCGGTGGCTGAGGCCTGGACCCAGCTTCAGGGAAGCTCTGCCGCCCGCCGCCAGCTGCTCCTGGACACCACGGACAAGTTCCGCTTCTTCAAGGCCGTCCGGGAGCTGATGCTGTGGATGGATGGGGTGAACCTGCAGATGGATGCCCAGGAGCGGCCCCGGTGAGGGCCACGGTGCCCTGCAGCCTCCGAGGGCTGTGGGCTGGGGGCTGGGACAGGGTTGTGGGCAGCGGTAATGTGGTCTCTGTACCCCCAGGGATGTGTCCTCCGCAGATCTGGTCATCAAGAACCACCAGGGCATCAAGGCAGAGATAGAGGCCAGGGCCGACCGCTTCTCCTCTTGCATCGACATGGGGCAGGGGCTGCTTGCCAGGAGCCACTACGCAGCTGAGGAGGTGGGTGAGGTGTGGGTGCAGCCAGGTCATCCTCACAGGGGGAGGCCTCGGTGCTGATCTCTCCTCTGAGTCTTCCTCCTCCCTCTCGTTCTTCCTTCGCAGAACCACCCCCTTCCCTTTGGTGCTGTTCACGATTTCCCCATTCCAACTTGCCCCCAGAACCGTCTGCCTCCTGAAATCAGAAATCTCTAGTTCCCTGTGTGAGTCCTCCAGAGAACCCAGAAAGGTCCTACTGGGTGCTAACTCACATCTCTGCCCCCTAGATCTCGGAGAAGCTGTCTCAGCTGCAGGCACGGCGCCAGGAGACAGCAGACAAGTGGCAGGAGAAAATGGACTGGCTCCAGCTTGGTGAGCTGCCGTGGGCGCCAGGGAACTGGCTGAGGGCACCAGGCCCTGGGAGAAGGGGCTGGGGATCTTGCACCCTGTAGTTTCCAGAGTATGTAAGACCAAGGGGCCTGGGCATGGAATTCAAGGTGCCTGCCCTTGGCACTGCCTGGCTCTGCCCTGCGCTCCTGCCCTGGGGCAGTAGCTCCCTCTGTGTCCCTGTTCTTGAAGCGCTGTGGCAACAGTGCCCTGCTGGTGCTCTGACCTGCTATCTCCTCCTGACCCCCCAACCCCCCAGTTTTGGAGGTGCTCGTATTTGGGAGAGATGCGGGTATGGCGGAGGCCTGGCTGTGCAGCCAAGAGCCGTTGGTGAGAAGCGCTGAGCTGGGCTGCACAGTCGATGAAGTCGAGAGCCTCATCAAGCGTCATGAGGCCTTCCAGAAGTCCGCAGTGGCCTGGGAGGAACGTTTCAGTGCACTGGAGAAACTCACCGCGGTGAGGATTGCCCTCCCCTCCCACTGCCCCAGACCTGCGCTCTGTCCTGCTTGATGAAGACGTGTCTTCCCTTCCCACTGTACCAGCGTGTCCTGGATGTGAGCCGTGGGTGCCTGTTGTACCGTGGCTCCAGGAGCCCTCAGCTCCCCCGTTGCTTCTAATCCCCACCTTCTTTTGAAATTCTACTTTCTATCCTTTCTGTTCCATCAGGCGAGCTGAGGCATCTCAGCTTTCCCCAGTGCCCTCCCTGGTCCTTTTGAGTGCGACCTTCTATGCTCTGACCCCAGAATGTTTTGACAGCTGGAGGAGCAGGAGAAGGAACGGAAAAGAAAGAGGGAGGAGGAGGAACGGAGGAAACAGCCCCCTGCCCCAGAGCCCATAGCCGGTCTGTCTGAAGGGGACCTGGTGGACAGCCAAACAGCTCCCGATGCCACCCGGGATGGGTGAGAGCTGGGACCCTTGGGGACAGAGAACGTGGCTGAGTCTGAGCAACCCAAGGACTTAACACTCTGTCTCACCTTCTGCTGTTCCAGAACCCGCCCCCGGCCGCCAGCATCTGCACAGCAGGCCAGCGTCAACGGAGTCTGCACAGATACAGAGTCCCCTCAGGTGACCCCCACTGCCCTGTGCCCCCCCATCAGGATCTTAGCTCCCCATCTTGCATGTCCTCTTACAGCTTTTTGTCCTCATAGCCCCTGTTGGAACAACAGAGACTGGAGCAAGGCAGCTTCCCAGAAGGACCTGTGAGTTTCACCCAGAGGTGTGGGTGTTAATAAGAGGAGATGAAGGGAAGAAGAGGGGTGTGAGCCAGGCGGTGGGGATCCTGGGGATAGGATAAGACAGGAGCCCAGAGGAAACAGGCGGCGGGAAGACCAGCTCTTGGACTTCAAGCTTCATGACATTTGGGCTAGATATTTCCCATCTGGTCCTTTGACACTGACACTGTTGTCCATTTTGCCCACAGGGGTCTGGCACAGGGGACGAGGCCAACGGGCCACGGGGGGAGAAGCAGACCCGGACGCGAGGCCCAGCCCCTCCCGTAATGCCCCAGAGCAGGTCATCGGAGCCAGCCCGGGTTGCCACCTTGCCCCCTCGAGGCCCAGAGCTCTCTGCCCAGGAGCAGATGGAAGGGATGCTATGCCGCAAACAGGAGATGGAGGCCTTTGGCAAGAAGGCTGCCAACAGGTACTGGCCCTGGCCGCACAGCATCGGTGGCCTCTCGGCTCCTGCCTTATAAAGAGGCTTCCCTGGGCTCAGTCGGTTGAGCGTCCGACTTTGGCCTAGGTCGTGATCTCGTGGTTTGTGGGTTCGAGCCCCACGTCGGGCTCTGTGCCGACAGCTCAGAGGCTGGAGCCTGATTCAGATTCTGTGTCTCCCTCTCTCTCTGCCCCTGCCCCACTCACGCTCTGTCTCTCTCTCAAAAATAAACATGAAAAATAAAATAAAATAAATAAAAAGAGGCTTTCCTGGAACCTCTTCCAAATAGACAGGGAAGAGGTATGGTATAGGAGGAGGGTCCTCTGGGAGAGGAAGAGGACCCAAGAGAAGAGCAGGGGCCTCAGGTAATGGTCAGGAGTGTGTAAAGATAAGGGGCCCAAAGACAGGAGTGGCACTGGAAGCCCTCGGACACCCAAGCTAGGGTTCTAGGCCCCATAGAGACCAGTCACCTGTCTCACCTCATCACCTACACCACATCCCTCCCAGGTCATGGCAAAACGTGTACTGCGTCCTGCGGCGTGGGAGCCTTGGCTTTTATAAGGACGCAAAGGCAGCCAGCACAGGAGTGCCATACCACGGAGAAGTGCCTGTCAGCCTGGCCAGGGCCCAGGGCAGCGTCGCCTTTGATTATCGAAAGCGCAAACACGTCTTCAAGTTGGGGTAGGAATGCAAAGTGCCCTCAGGATGGGAGGGGAGTTGGGGGCGATACGAAGTATAGGGGAGCCACAAGCTAGTAGAGGGAATCGAGTCACAGGGCTGGGTGTTTGGAGACAGAGATGTAGGTGAGGGAACGGGAGGGGGTCTGGTTGCACTCAGGGCGCAGGAGCACCAAGATGCGGGCTTGCCTGCTGATGTCAAGCAAAAAATTATTGTGCATGGGAAATCGAAGGCGGCCTGCCTCCGGGGACCTCCAGGGGCCTGCCTCTGCCTGCCAGCAAGCAGCCAATGCAGGAGGCACAGCCTGGGATGCAGGTGAGCTCACCGTGGTCCTCAGCAGCCAAGCAGGAAGGGCCTGCTTTTGCACAGCCCTGGGAAAGTGCAGGATGTGCAGAACGTGCCCTCCAGCCTGCTCTCAGGGTGATCACTGGGACTCCACGAGCGCTGGTGTAGCCGGTCCAGATTCTCAGCTCTGCTCTGAGGCCTCTCTTTCTCCCAACAGCTTGCAGGATGGAAAAGAATATTTATTCCAGGCCAAGGATGAGGTGAGCTTGCCCCTTCTCCCCCCGCGTCTCTATCTCTGGGCCATTCTCAGAACCTTCCAGTTGTAGATTCCCCTTTCTTCCCTCTCCTCTCTTTTTCCTTAAGTGTCTCCCTCTTCGTGAGCAGATAGCTCACAGTGTGCCACCTGGATGTTTGTGAAGGCCACCCAAAAACCTGTTCCCCGTCTTAAAGGGGTCATTTTCTCCAGTGAGACAAAATAGTCCAAACACTTTCCTGCCTGCTCCTCCTCGGCTTCCCAGCGTCTGCAGGCCACAGCTTCAGCCCGGCTGCCTTGACGCTGACCACCTGTCTTCCCATGCCCTCCGCAGGCAGAGATGAGCTCATGGCTGCGGGTGGTAAATGCAGCCATTGCGACTGCGTCCTCTGCCTCTGGAGAGCCTGAAGAGCCAGCGGTGCCCAGTGCCGCCCGGGGCATGACTCGGGCCATGACCATGCCCCCGGTATCACCGGTCGGGGCTGAGGGGCCTGTCGTGCTTCGAAGCAAGGACGGCCGAGAACGAGAGAGAGAAAAACGCTTCAGCTTCTTCAAGAAGAGCAAGTAGTTGGGGGCGAGACTCCCAGGCCAGCTTCTTCCCTGTATTCAGGAAACTGCCAGGGACTGTCAACAGGGACCACCCTCTTGTCAGGACAACTGCCTGCTGCTAGGGTCTGTTGCCAAGGTCAACCCATCACCAGGAACTGTTGGGGGGTGGGGGGGACAAGTCAGTGTTCCCAAGGGCGATGCTCCTCTTCTGCTATTTAATTCCAGACTGGTGGTGGGACCCAGGCAACCCCCAATTCCACTCCCGCCTCCTGACTTCTTCCCTCTCCCCCAGCCCTATGCCTCTACCCTGACTCCGGTGCGGACAGCCCTGCACCCTCAACATAGGCCACGTGGGGAATGGCTGCCCCTGCCTCAGGTCATTCTCCCACCACGGCTAGGGCATGCCCCTCGGTTCCTTGCCCCTGGGGACCAGCCAGGAACCTCTCAGAGCTGAAGCAGGACCTGGGGGCAAGATTGCCAGATGGCCGAGTCAGAGGTGCCGAAACTCCCCCTTCCCATCCTAATTCGTCCTCTGACTCGAGTGGCTGCCCATCTGCAGCGACGCTCAATGGCTTCCAGGTGTGAGTTGTTCAAGGGCAACCACAGCCTTGAGTCTGGCCAAGGAGGTGATTAAACAGCTCAGCTTGTCTTACTGCTTCTGGGTGTCTTTGCTTTCCCGACCACAAGCCCCCCTGCCTATGCCCACGTTCTTGCCTTTGCCTCTGGTCTCCCGTATGTCAGGTTTCCGCAATGCCCCCAGCCTCCAAACCATCAAAGAACCACATGATCTTGAGAGCTTCCCTACCTTGGTCTCATTTCCCCGTGATAATGACCTCCAGTTTGCTGGGTTGATTAATGGCAAGCCTCAGTTTTAGACCAAAGAAGTTCACCATGGGTCAGGATGTTAACAAGCACTGTTAATGTTAAAGGCAGTGAAAAACTAATTCCCCGGTGCACAACTTTCTTTACTCATGACTCTCTCAACTATTTTCAAAAATGAAAGACTGAATTGCCACAAGCAAGTCTCAGCCACTGCTCAGCCCAGCAGTGGAGAGTGGAGCACAGAGGGGGTGGTTATGGACCCCGTCTTCCCTCCCGAATGGAGAGGATCAAGGGAGTTCAGACAGGGGTCATATAAGTGGCAAATTCCACTGACGGATAGGATGACATCACCCTGGGAAGCCACGAGGTACATGCAAAGTGTGTAAATACACACACATACAACAGAATATATCCTAGATCTGGTTGAAGTATTAAAAAAAAAAAAAAAAAACCCACCAGGTAGCTTTCTCCTTTGTCTTTGGCTTGGCAATTGGAAGTTTCAGGCAATAGTATTGCCTTGGTGACCTCCTACAGGAAAAGCTTTGTTCTTTCATTTTTTCCCCATAAATACACAACCATTTCTTTTGGGGGCTCAGAGAAGATCTTTCCAGAGAAGCAGCCCTATCTTTAATTTTTAAAAATTTTAACTTCCAGTATAGTCAACATACAGTGTTATGTTAGTTTCAGGTATACACTCTAGTGATTCAACAATTCCCTACATCACCCAGTGCTCATCACGACAAATGCATTCCTTAATCCTCATCACCTGTTTCACCCATTCCCCTCCCCCGCCCCCTCCTGTAAGCAGCTCTATATTTAGCATAATTGGCCAAGGGCCCTGGCTCAGTAGACCCCTGACCATCATCAGCCACGACAGAGAGTCAGGTGTGTGCAGGCCCAGGACTAGCACAACACAGCCCAGAATGGTATCCAGACATGAGATCTGGTAGACCAGATAGCTCACAGAATAATTCTCCCTTTCTTGTAAGAAAAGCAGATTCAGAACTATCCTACAGTAAACATGTTGGATAAATGTAACTGAACAATCTGTCGTGGGACTATACATCAGTACAACCTTCTCTTGTTCTTCGGGTACAACTGTAAAATCTCCACTGTATGAAGGAAGGAAAAGTCATACACTGTCGAGCCCTCAGGGAATCAGGGTATTTACACTCCAACATGGCAAGCCTGGGAGTTAAAAGGGAGAGCAATAATGGGAAATTTTAGAAGGAAATGTATATAGGAGTGAGAAATTAATGAAGAAATGATCGTTTTAACATGTGAAATGTGAATGTCAGTAGGGCAGCTAAGGACAGCAGTCTTGCAGGATGCAGTCAGTCACTGTGAAAGGAGAAGTAATGGAGATGTGGTTTGAGCATCATCTAGGGGGCAGCTGAAGCTGCCTGAGGACATGAATCCTTAAGAACAGGACATAGTGGGGCGCCTGGGTGGCGCAGTCGGTTAAGCGTCCGACTTCAGCCGGGTCACAATCTCGCGGTCCGTGAGTTCGAGCCCCGCGTCAGGCTCTGGGCTGATGGCTCGGAGCCTGGAGCCTGTTTCCGATTCTGTGTCTCCCTCTCTCTCTGCCCCTCCCCCGTTCATGCTCTGTCTCTCTCTGTCTCAAAAATAAATAAAAAACGTTGAAAAAAAAAATTAAAAAAAAAAAAGAACAGGACATAGAAGAGGATTAGCATAAGGTCAGGGAGTAAGTCTTAAGAGATCCCTTTGGATATGAGTGCAAGAAAAGAAAAGCTCCAGAAAGAGAATGAAATGGAGAGTGGGGGATACAAGACAGGTTAAAGCACAAAAATGCAGTAAGTGCAGGCACCACAAGTCATGGGGAAATATGGGCAGATAAAAATGGGTTGAGAAAAATGTATTTGTCATCTTACTGAACATCACCTCTAAGGATGAACTCTAGATCTGGGCTGTCCAAGACAGTAGCCACGAGCCACATGTAGCTACCCAGCACTTGAAATGTGGCTAGTCCAAATTGAGATGTGCTGTAAGTACAATGCTCACCAGTTTCAAAAACGGAAGAGGAAAAAAAATATTTCATTAATACTTTTTATATTGATTATATGTTGAAATATTTTAGCTTTATTGGGTTTCAAAAGTATTAAACTGAACTTCAACGGTTTCATTTTACTTTTTAAATGTCTTTACTAGAAAATAACATGTTTTTAAGTTTTTGTTTTTAAGTAATCTCTCCACCCAACGTGGGGCTTACACAACCCTGAGATCAAGGGCCTCATGCTGCACTGACTGGCCAGCCAGGCACCCCTGGATAGCACTGTTTTAAATTGACTACAGACCTAATGTAAAAAGGACAAACATTACTGTTAATAGAGAAAAATGTAGGGGAATATATTTGTGACTCCAGGGGGAAGAAAAGGACATCTTATACAAAAGTTCAAATGCTTTTGAACACACTTTAAGACAAAAATTAGATTCCATAAAAAATTAAGAATTTCTGTTCAATGAAGGACATCATGGACAACGTTGATAATTTAGTGGAACGACAGAAAATATTTGAAACCAATAAGAGATTTATATCTAGAATACACAAGAAAATCCTGCAAATCAACAACAAAGAGGAGATTACTACCACTAAGAAAGATGAGCAAAAGATATGAACAGGAAATTTACAGAAGAACAAACCCCAAAAAACTTTACACCTATTATACTGGTAAAAAATTGAAAACTGGATAATGTCCAACATTGGCAGAGTTGTTGATATACAGGGCCCCTCACGTGCTGCAGGTGGGAGGTTAGACTGGTATAATTTTTCCGGAGAACAACTTGGTACTACTTAGATAAGTTAGTTCCAAGAATACCCTATGACCCAGCAAACTAGCAATTCCACTCCGGGTTTATATCCCTCCAAATTCTCACAGGGATCCATTAGGGCACACATAATTAACATAATGGTGTTAACTGTAACCTTGTTTATAATGGTGTGGGGTTGGAGGCAACCTAAATGTCCTACATGTAGAGATGGATAGGTAAAATATGATTGCACACTAGGGAATATTACACAGTGGTTAGATATCACACAGCAACACCCGGGGGGGGGGGGAGGAGCGGTTAGCGGAAAAATTAAAACAGTGAGCCATGCAACACAAGTTGCATAAAACATTTACACAATTTACCCAAATGCGCAATGGGTGGACCTTGTTTATATCCACATTAGAAGAAACCAACTGCAAAAAGACGTATTTGCAACAATCTAGAAGAAATTTTAATATAAAGATGAGATAATATTAGCATAGTGCTGATGTTTTAATTAGAGGTAGATAGTGAAGGCCTTATAGGTGAAATGACATTACATCTCAGGTTGCTTTTTAAACACTCCAGCTCCCCCCCCCACACACACACATGCACACACAAGTATAGAGGATAGATAAAATAAGATAAGCAGAATGTTGGTAATTGTCAAAGCTGGGTAAAGGGTCCATAGGAGTTTGTCATAATATCCTGTCTCTATGTTTTTGAAAATTTCCACAACAAAACATCTCTTAACATGGAAAAAGCATATGCGCACTAAAAAGACATGTCTCGCAAAAACACAAAATAATACACATTAAACTCATTAGAATCGTTGCCTGTGAGGGAAGGGGAACTGAGATAAAACAGAATAAGAGTAGGGAAATAGATGGGGGGGGG